CCCCCCCAATATAATGAAACCCTTATTTTTGGCTCTTCAAACATTGTAAAAAAATGATTGATAAGAAGAAGAGAGAAGTATAAACGGAAGTTTGAAATTTGTATTGAATGAATTTTCATAAAATTGAAACGCCATTAAATAAGGCAAGTCCGAGCTTGGGGGTGCAGAATTTTTTTATGTAAAACGCAGTACAATACCCCGTTTTATGTATTTAAATTATTGTTATGTCAGTTAATTATTGGTGGGGCCAAATTAATAAGTGAAACGCAGTACTATACTGCGTTTAAGTAATTCGCAGTACTATACTGCGTTTAAGTAATTCGCAGTATTGTACTGCGAATTCCTTAAAAAATTTTTTTTTTAATAATACGCAGTACTATACGCGAATTACTTTAACGGCTAAATTTTCGTTAAAGTAATTCGCAGTATAGTACTGCGTTTTAGGTATTTATGTAATATTTTTTTAGTAGTAAAAACGTGTTTTGTGCCCAAAAAGGCATTAGAAAAGTTTCGGACTCGTTTTCCTGCCCATTACTTTTTTTTTTCCTCGAGAAGTCTTGAATGTAAGGAGAGTACTTTGTGCAAGATAGTGTTGTCCATATCACTTTTATTTAGGGAAAAAGGCCAAAATTGTCTCTCTACTATTAAAAATTAGTCACGTTTATACCCGTTTTTACTTTCCGTCCAAAATCATACCCACCGTTAATATAGTATGCAATTTTGTCCCTAGCCCTAACAGAAATCCACCGTGGCACCGGAACCCTTCTCTTAAAGGGCCAAGTAGGCAAATATCAACCCAAATTTTAAAGACCCATGCCCATTTTTTGACCCAATTATCCAATTTTCTTTCGAACAAGCTCTAGCAAAAGGGTACAAAATGATAATTGTTCCATATCAATAGTGCTGGTTTCTCCATTTCAAATCGTCGTCATGAATTTATAAATGGATTCTAACAGATCAAAGGCCCCAACAGATCTAAACCACTAGTGATTGAATTTTTGACCAAACTCCCATGAGTTTCTTCACTGCTTATAAGACAGCGAATGGAGAATCGACGAAGCTTCTTCCGACCAAACTCCGATGAGTTTCTTCGCTGATGGTTCTTGACCATGTTTGAACATCTCTCGCTTAAATGGGCTTAAAAATGAAACCATAAAGGAGAAAATAGGTAAAATGAGCATAAGGAAAGAGAATAAGTTACATCCAATTTGAGCATACTAGAAGATTTTGAGATTTAAAACAGTAAAAAGGAGAAGAAAAGAAAAAATGGGGTGGAAGGGGATCATGGCAGGCCGATCTGCAAAATAGTCGACACTTGAAGATGGTACTCCTTTCCGTTCTTTTATTTTCTAGTAACCTGTAAAAAATTAAAAAAGGAGAAGAATGACTAATAGAAGATAAGAGAAAATAAGGGGTCACTAGAAAAATTCGCCGACCAAAACTCCGGCTAGTGAGAAAATATTTATTTATATGAGTCTTTTGGTACATCCCCACTTTTTTGGGCAGCTCCATCCGATATTCTGGCTAAAACCTAGTTCACCATATTTGAAGAGAAGAGAAGAAGTGACGAGGTTGGGGGATGAGGGTCTGGTTCGTCGGAGTCGACTTTGGTAGAGAGACAGAGATTGAGAGAGAGAAGGGTAAGACCCAGAAGGTGGTTGGATAATTGGTTCAAAAAATGGGCATGAGTTTTTAAAATTTGGGTTGATATTTGCCTACTTGGCAGTTTAAGAGAAGGGTCCCGGTGCCATGGTGGATTTCTGTTAGGGCTAGGGACAACATTGTATACTATATTAAGTATGATTTTGGACGGAAAGTAGAAACGAGTATAAACGTGACTAATTTTCAATAGTAGAGGGACAATTTTGGCCTTTTTCCCTTTTATTTATGAAAAATTTAAGCATTTCACATATTGCCAATATATCAAACACATGAATTTCCCTTGGCTTCGATCTAGAGATAGCACAACACATGATGTGTGCATTAGGTGTATGCGGCAAGTTTGAACCCTATTACAGGTAAAAGTCTGGTATTTAAGTGGAGAATGTTAGAAGGGCCTGTTATCCTTTGAATTGTGAACCATGCGCCATCTAGCTCTCGAGATTTCTCGATTATTTATAAATTAAAAGAAAAACATGTTGTACTGTGTATGGGTGTCTAACGGCCGGGTCAGCCCGTTTTCGGACCGGCCCAGACAGGTTTAAACCGGAACCAGCCCGGACCGGTATAAGGGGCCGGGTGGGACTGGGTTATAGGGATAGGGCAGTTTGTTCCGTTCACATTTGAACCACCGATTAACCGGACCGGTCAAACCCGGTCAACGAACAACACTGTTTATCCGGTTAACCGGCCCGGCCCAGACCGGTTTGACGGTAACAATTTTTTTTTTTTTTTACTTGTGGGCCTAAATCTGACCGTTGGCAACGGTCCATTTCCCATTATGGCCGTTGCCCAACGGCTGAATTGCACAAATAGCCCATTTTTTCTTTTTTTCTTTTTTAATTAACACCCCTTTGAAAAACTATAAATACACCCCCCCCCCCCCTTCTTCATNTATATATATATATATATATATATATATATATATATATATATATATATATATATATATATAAGATTTTTTATTATATTTACTCCAGTACATAAAAAGTAAAGCAATAGGGTATGAACAATTCGTCATGTTGCAGCTGAGAGAAAAAAGAATGATCAATCGTAATCGGTCGGGAGCTTTACTATATATATAGCCTTTAAGGTAGTTAGTAGTTGACAAGCATATTTAGTATGGAGTCAGCCTATATTGCGTTCATAGTCTGCAGTTCTGTGATCCTCTTTTTGGTATTTTTGTGCTGCCTAAGCTACAGAGAAAAGCAGAAGAAGAAAGGAGCTGGCGATGTTGAAATAGGTGCGAGGAACCCCAGAGCTGGCCTCGGATTAAAAGACGGCCGTATGGTTGTTTTGGCCGGCGCTGGAGCCGCTGTCGCCGGTGTAGCAGCAACGACGACAGTGGTGAGTAGCAACAGTGGTGGTGCTCACCAGGGTTGTTGTTGCGGCGGTGATGGTAGTGGTTGCGGTGGTGGTGGTTGTGGCGGTTGTGGTGGATGTGGAGGTTAATTTGTTTTGAATGCGATTTAGTATGCGTTAGTGGCAATTTTCTCTTTTATTGGTTTGTTTTCTCCTCTTTCCTTTTTTGTTTTCCGTTTAATGAAGGTGTTGGACAATGAAGAACTGAAAATTGTGGACATGTAAAATGCTTGGATTAACTATAATGAGTTAATTACAAGCCTATGGTAATAATGTTGCTATCCAAATGACGTTTACTAACTGTGTGACTGTATTTTTATACATAAGTTCATTTTAACTGTAACGATATTTTCTTATTTTCAAGTCACCAATCAATTTACTTATTATAATTTATTTTGATAATTAATTTAATAATATAAAAAGTTTGAATTATAGGTGTATAAAAATTTAAACTCTAATACAAATAGTTGTGAAATAGAGATTGTACATTATTTTTAATAACATCCCTTGAGTTGTTTGGATAATGCTTGATGTTGGTCAACCTTCAAATCGATTACTTGTCAACATGGTAGTTATAAGAGAATAAAAAAAGAAAGAGTAATTATCTCTGACTATATATTCGGGGGAGAAGGATAAAGATTGCTCGGGACTCGAGAGAAGGGAGTTAGCGCTAGAAATGCTTAATGCATGCCAGTTCACAATTTGTTGTTTGTCGTGTCTGTGTGTGTTGGAGATCAATTTTAACGTGACACAAATAGTCCAAGTCCAAGGGCTATTTAATAACCACTTTTACGGCTGATCCTTACAAGATGGTCACAAATTAAAAATCAATGCAACTTTTGTCCATGTACGATCATATTCTAAATAACAGCGTTAAAGTGGCTGTTTGCGCAAATGACCCCTTTGTAAATGTATGCTCCGTTCTGTATCTTGTTGGTAAAAATTAGAGGTGTCTAACGGGCCAGGTCAGCCCGTTTCCGGACCGGCCCAGACCAGTTGAAACCGAAACCGGTCCGGACCGGTACAAGGGGGCCGGGTGGGGCTGGGTTAAAGGGGTAGGGGGTTTGGTCCATTCACCTATTTTCAACCGGTTAACCGGACCGGTCAAACCCGATCAACAGAAATACTGTAGAACCGGTTAAACCGGCCCGGCCCGGACCGGCCCGAATCGGTTAACGGCTAGTTTCTTTTCTTCTTTTTTTTTTTTTAAAAAAAAAATTGTTGATTGGGCAGCCCATGTTAACCGTTGGCAACGGTCACCTGCCAAGGAGTTGTTGCCCAACGGCTGATTTGCACAATTAGCCCTTTTTGGGCCTTTTTTTTAAAAATATTAACACTTTTGTATTACAAATTTAACCATTTGAAAAAACTATAAATACACCCCCCCTCTTCTTCATTTCTTCACTCATCTCTCATTTCTCAAACTCAAATTCTCAATTCAAGTTAAATCATGCCTCGTACTTCTAGAGTGCGCTCATATGTTTGAGAACACTTTGAGGTGGTAGAAGAAAATGAAGAAGTTCAGAACATAAAGTGCAAGAACTGTGGTCGAGTCTTAAATCTTCGTCCAAAGTGTGGCACAGGCAGTTTAAGGAGGCATATGAAGAGTTGTCTTGAGCGTCCTCCGGAAAATCGTATTTAAGTTGATCTGAGATAATTTGTGTTATTCTAAAATTATTAGACGTATTTATGCTTAATGTTTTAGTTTGTTAGATTAATTTGAAGTATTATTATGCATCAAAATTTAGTTTTACTATTTTTTTGTTAATTTACTTGTAAATGCGAACTTCAATTTTGTAATTTTGAAATAAATGTAGCACTTGCAATTTATAAGTGCATTTTTTTTCCATCTTCATTGTATTCTTTATATTTTTACTTTATATTAATATAACTTACAATAGTTATACAAAATACAAAAAAAAAAAAAATTACACTAACCCGGCCCAGCCCGGCCCCTTGAACCCGTAACCCTTACGGTTCAATTTTTACCCGGATGAACCCGAACCCGTTAAACTGGTATGCTCCAACCCGTAACCGGCCCGGACCACAACCCGTACGGGTACTAGATTTCCCTACCTAGCCCGGCCCGGCCTACCCGTTAGACACCCATAGTACTGTGATGCAAATTTACGAGTATCTTGTGCTACTTCAATGCCTAGGCAAAAAATGCATCCACCTAACCAGAAACAAAGGAGACAAAATGCAAAAACGATGCATCAACAATTTAACATGCAGCTAGAGCAGAAACAGTGAAAGAATCTGCAATCTGCAGGGCTAATATAGAGATAATGTATTAACTTGAAACCAAGCAACTAAATGACTTGTTCTCACCAGCATCTGGATCACACCAAGCAATAAAGCCTTAAAAAGGACATAAATACAAATTTTCTTTTCTTGACATAACAATGCATCCCCAGCAAAACCAAGATCAAACTAATCATTGCTTAGAACAGATCAAGAATATCATAACAGTCAACCAAGATTAACCGCTGGATGGGACAAGTCCAACATAAATCTCGGATGAAACATGGTTCAAACAGAATTGAACATGCTGAATTCCTGTCATAGTGAAACTAGCAACAACAAACATGATTCTTTCACCCCCAACTAGGCAAACAAATAAACAAGCAATGGATGCCAAATCCGATAAACAAGCAGCCCGAGAAGCTCCTGAATTCGATTAGGCACGTTTTACTTGGACTTGGACAACAACAATATGAATGATGGTGCAAACAAAACACCATGTACACTCACAGCAAACAACATTACCATAAAACAGACCCATGAAGAATAAAACACCATGGCCTTTCTTTTTCAAACAAACCCAACTTGGAGAAAGCTGACACAAACTTTCGGTAATCTTTGGACGCCTCAGAAACAGAGTAATCATTGTAATATCCATTATTAAGATAGTGCCAAGCAGTAGCTGGATGGTATGCTACAAAGGCATCAGGGGAATTCACCACCAGGATGTTTTTTTACCCAATTTGTCACATCATACACTTAACCCTGAATGAATATCTACAAATCTCCTAGTTTGTTGTGGTTCTTGAGCTCATCAGTTGTAATGTACTTCCTGGTTTCTTCTACCATAGATCTATGAAAACCCTTTTCTTCTACCGAGACCAACTCTCGTCTGCCTTCTGTTATATGCCTTGCAGTTAAGGCACTTATGTGCCGCAATATGAAAGTTAAAACCAGATGTTTCCTTCAGTCATTGCAGTTGCTACAGTTCTAAGTGATTTTCATAGATATCCATATATAAAATAAGGAATTTCACGTGCTTATCCTGACAACCAAAACATCTTCTTGCTATCTTTCTGTATCCTGCAGAGCCACATAGTTACTACTATTAATACTGAGATCTAAAAAAATTCTGCAAAGGTGAAATATCAAGAAATTTTTGTTCAGCAACGTACTTTATTGCCCACACAGATGTTTATGCTTCCACTAATGCCCAATCAGATGCATAACGACAAACAACTACAAACAGAAGATTTTTACAGAAATAGAAAAATGCAATTGAAAGCTCACACTATCTATCATATGGAAAATATAATGAAGCTTCTTTACATTAAATATTTAGTGAAACATCTTAAACAAAAAATATATAGAGAGAAAACAAATGGCTACAAATTCTTGATCTGCTCTCTACCTGTTACAAGTAGGATTTATATATTTCAATTAGTTTTACTCAAGCCAAGTTACTAATAGAACTCTAATAATATCAAATTAATAAAGGCAAAATGAAACAACTCCATAAAACTCTAACCTCTAAGAAGTTAGGATTATCAAGAACGCTTCGGATAAAAGTTAGAGAACTTTGCACGGTCTTAAATATTTGCAGAACCTGTAAGTTCAGCATCAAATCCAAATAACGTTGTCTATGTTGTGTTTCCTGAACTCACATAAAAAATGAACCACACGAACACATCGGGATGCATAAATATTTTAAAAAGGAAATAGAACGAAAGCAAAGCAATTGAAAAAAGGAACTTCTGAAAAAATAAAAGAAAGAAGAGGTGTAAAGTGCCCATGCTTTTAACACATGTATCTAGATTCTGGCCACTTCCCGTACCCGTGCTTCATTTTTCTGAGCACAAATAACAACTTTAATTGACATATTGGCTTGAACAACGATGCTTTCAATTGTTATTCTGTACGGTAGAATAGCCATTTCGACTCAAGGGAATGCAGAATAATCAAATTGGCGATCTGTAAATCTGCAAAATAAAAGATGCAGTTCCAAATCCTTCCGAAGTCAAAGTACTTGCAGTTACATGTGATACTACAGACATACAGTCAGAAAAGTTATTAAGTGTGTGTTGGTGAATTAAAGGACAACCTGGAAAAGATATCAAAGAAAATCTCTCCAAAATTCCATAAAAAGCAAACTGAAATGACGAAACTTTGTTTGGATTGGAATAAAAGAAACAGGAACAATACAAGTGCATGTTTGTGTACTGAACCATAATGAATGTTGATGCATCACACAATTAAGAAATATTAATTATTAAGGAGCTTGTTCTACCCCTATTTGTAGGCTAATTAAGTAGGAGAGTATCTCCTGCAAGTGATCCTTCTGGGCTTAGCCCTATAATTTGCTATTCAGAAACACCCTTGATGCCTCCACATTCTCTGCATCAATGTACAAAAACATGAGACATTTCATGTTTTAACATAAAGGAACAGAATCCACTCCAAAATTAAAATGAAATCTTCCTAGAAAATAGTAGAGGAAGAATGTTTAACACAGTTAAGAATCACTTTTTTGAATTGAGAAACTTTACGTGTATGTCTCTGGCGAGCATTAAAGTAGAAAATAGTGCAAATCAAACATTAAAATCACATTTGGAGAGGTTCACTAACTCAGCCATGACTTCTGGCAGCCTTGGGCAAAAAAATGGAAATATTAACCGCTCACAGTTCCAAAGCACATCAGTTATGGAGGAGAAACACAAAAGACGAAGAATGCAAATTGAGGGGGAGCACAGCGTATACCCCTGGTTTCTTGAGCAATACCTATGATTATTTGGTCACACCCTTAACTCGATTGAATTCTATAGTATTTTGTATGATTAATGGATTAGACATAAAGGATCAAGCATGCTATCTTGCATAAAGTGTTGTACATTATTAAGAGAAGCAAAACCAAGCCGTCACATCTAACAATACGACTCATACTAATAGGAAGCTTTGCGAAACAATTTAGAGGCATCATGAGGTAGGTAACTATAAATTAGTGGATTAATTTATCGTAGCCTGAAATCAACTAAATTTTATCTTTGGAACTATATACA